AGCCATGCTGCCTCCAGCAAAATAGTAGAAAATAGATTTTCCTGGCTTCTGCTGTGGTTAGTTATAATCAGGACCCTCAAATTCCCTGCCTTTTGCCAGAGAGTCAAAACTCCTAAAACAAAATCTCTTTTCTGACTCTTCTCTCTATTTGTGATTTTAGATAAATGTGTTTCAATAACAGATGTTCAAACATATACATATAAAAGTACTATTATCTCAAGTCTGAAGGTCAACAGTGAATTATCTTATGTTTCACATATAAATATAGATGCCCCTTCACTTACTGTGGGGTTATGTCTCGATACACTCACTGTAAGTTAAAAATATCTTAGGTCAAAAGTACATTCAATATCCTGACAAGCCCATCATCAAATAAAAAAAAAAATCTAACTTTAACCACGAGGAATCATCTGTACTTGCTTTCATCTCCTAACTCTTCAATGGTAATAAAATGCAAATGTTTAATATAAAATGTCATATTAACATAAAAAGATTCTTCTAAAGTCAATACAAAAATTATCTAGAGGTAGGAATGATTCTAGATGTGGTTAATGTTCCAGAAGGGTCAGAGATGGGTCTAGGCTTTTGCCATTCAGTATGGTAGTTATTGGCCTTGTGTAGCTATTTTCAATTTAATTAGTTGCAGTTAAATAAAATTAAGAATTTAGTTTCTATTTATGTTACACACCTTTCAAGTGCTCTGCAGCCATATGTTGCTAGTGACAGCTATATTGGACGGTGAGGCTGTGAAAAATTTCCATTCCTACATAGAGCTCTATTCGACAGCGCAGGTGGTTATGTCAGCAGTGCGGCAAAATCATAAGAGGAAGGACGGAGAAAATTAACTTCTCTCTGCCGCTTCCTGAGTTTTTGGCTGTTGATTGGATGGATGTGTCCAGGGCACCAAATAATGAAAAACAGTATGTGTTAATTTAATAGGTCACCATATTTTTAGGGACTATCCTGTCCCTTCACTATGTGTTAGCAAGGGAAGACGAGATCTAAAATAATAATGTACTTGGATTGTCTACACATTATGTTTTTTGGAACCCTCCTTTAAAAAAAAAATCACTACCCAAAGTATTTTTATATCCTATGATGGGGGTCAGGGTACTCTACTCCTAACTATTTTAAACTGAAAGAATTTGAAAAAATAGCAAAAGCAGAAAGGTCACTCTGACCTTTTCCTTGCTTTTCTTCCCTAAAGTAGGTCATAAAATCTAGGAAGGGTTTTTCTGACCTTCCCTGTAGCAGGACATAAGATCCTCATGGGAAAGGTGCCCTTCTTAGAAGAAAGGAGCATCCTCATCTCTGATGACAAAGGTACCACAAAGAAGAATCTGAACCACCAGGTCTTGCTAAGTTCCCCATTTATTTCCATTAAGCCACACTCTGCCCTATTGTATTAGGTGGATGCATAAATCTGTAGTGTTTGTTATTGGCATGGCAACACTGCAGGGTTGGAGCTTGTTTATTGTTTATCATTTGTTATTTGGAGTGACAATGTTGTACTTGAGAATATGTCTTGCATTTGCAGATCTGAAAAAAGTTAGTGCTATTTGTGGGTTAAAGAAGATGGAGCGCCAAGTGTAAAAAAACGAACGCATCCGATATATTCTTCTGCTGGAGTTTAACAGAGGAGTAAAGGCAGCAAAAGTGACTGGAAACATTTGTGCCATGTGTGGGGAGAATGCCATCAGGGAACGCATGGGAAGAAAATGGTTTTGTTGTTTCAAAGAGGATCACTTTGACCCGAGTGATTCTCCATGTTCAGGGTCATAGGGCTTTGATGAAGACCTTTTAAATGTTTTCATCCATGATGATCCATATCAGTCAATCTAAGAATTGGTAAATGTGATGAACTGTAACCAATCAACCATCATGTCACATTTGCATTCCATGGGTAAGCAAAAATGCTACAAACGTATTCATTAACCCAATATTTCTCCATGAGTGTCTATTCTTCATGAAACCTACCATAAAAACACTCAGGTTGAACTGCTTTTGTAATCTTCATTTCTTTATAAAGGCTTCTGCATCATGTAAAACTTATAGTAAGTAAATGTGTATGTTTTTCTCGTATTAATCTATCTTTTGTTACAGTAGCTTCAGTCATGAACCTGGACGAATAGAGGAAAAGATATTTTTTCTTCCCCTCCACCTAAATATTCCAAGAGGCACAGAATGATTGTTCGGAGAGAGAAAAAGTATTTTAACAGGAGACCTGCACATTTTGGAGGCAAGAAATAATAAAGATGGCTACATTTTATTGCACAGTGAAGACTGCTCTAACCCCTGCAGGAGAAGAAGCAGGATCTGTGAAAAGAGAGATGATATTAGCCTCATTAGTACTTTCCAGTTCCCCAGATTTTAATTCCTTAATGTTGAGCACTGAGATGTTTGTGGAGAATCAAATCGTTATGTGATGAGGTCTTGCCACCCCCTTAAGGTGCTCATCTCTCACAGAAACTCGTTTCACATCTCATGTTGCAACCACGAGTTGGGAAAACTGGTTTCTCATTTCTCAGAGGTAAGAATACAGACAGGGAACTAACAGAATAAAGGGCTCGGAATTTTCCCTACTGAGACTAAGCTCAAGCCACCCCCACGCTGGAAATGGAATAGGTCCTTTGCTATTTTCCACAGGGCACTTGACAGGGATACACATGACACATTTCAAGGGTATTTTAGGAGTCTTGGGGAAATATGACAGGAGTGCTTGTTCCAGGTATGCAGTTACTGACTGGTGATTGATGCTGATTTGTCCTTTTTGTCCAGCACTTGACAGAGTGGTTTTGTATAAAGCTCTGCAGAGTCCTGGAAGTAAAAATATTATGACACATGTTTTAAAGAGATGCTTTAGATGCAGTTTCCAGGGATGCCAAGACTTTAGACCCACTCATATGACTGAACAAAGAGATCAAGAGTTTTCCCCTCTAGACATTAATTAAGAACAGAGATTTGGAGGTAACAGCTTCTGTGGAAAGAAATGAGAAAGGAATTAAGAGAAGGCGGGCAGCCGGGCCGTCAGAATCCTTCAGTGTTAACTGTCTGGGAGGCCAGAGTTTTTTTGGGGGGTGTCTGGTTAACTCTGCTGTTCTCACAATAAGTAATTTAAAAAATCAAGCTAAAACTTCTATCTAAGCACAGAGTCAAGACGAAAATAAAGCACTCCACAAATATATCAAAGAACTCAAATGCTCTTCCTCACACTTATTACTAGGTAGAAATCTTGTCACTTCCTAGAGTATCTTAACTCTAACCTGATTATTGCATTCTGCATTTATCCTCAGGGTATGACTAAACACTATAAAATTCAGGCTCTTAAAAGCGAAGGACAATATCCAATCTAGAGTTCATTAGTTCACACAAAAATAAAACACAATGAACACAGACGATAGCATTCTCTAGATATGAGAACATTAGTTTTTTCCCTTTGAAAATAGTGGGGTGGAGTAAGAAATTCTTATGACTAAGAAAACATACTCAGTGTAGGTCTAAAATAAGGTATTTCCCCTATTTAAGGCAAGCATGATCATTGTGGCACAACTTCCTATGTTTTCCAAGTTGAAAGTATCAACTACAATGTACCCATTTTTTTTAGCTCCTGACTTATTATTATTTTGTTGTGTTTAAAATAAACATCAAAAACAAAACACCCCCCCCCCCAAACTTCCAAAAAACAAGCTTTACAAAGCAGGAGGTTTTATTTAGAGAGAACTCTCTACTCTTTTGTTTTGGTGTGTATTGATGGAAAGCAACTCCAACAATAACTCCTAACAATCATGTTTGCTTTGCATCTTATATTTTTAAACTTATTTCTGCATGATGTTTTGCATCTAACGAAATGCATTTCATATTCATTGTTTTATTTGATCCTCAAAACAACCTTGGAAGGAGTTATCCAGTGTCATGTCTCAGTCCCATTTCACATAAGTGAAAACGGAGTCTCTCAGCTTCAGTGACTTGCTCATACTCCCACAGTCAGAAAGCAATTAGAGCTGCTGTCAATGTCAGAAAGAGCTCTAACTCCTCTCACATCAATTCTTTCTTTTATGCCTGATACAATGCTATCTGTTAAAAGAGGAAGAATGTGGCATACTAGTGACAAGAAAGAACGCAGACCCTGGAGCCAATGGATGGGTGTTGAAGTCCTGGGTCTGTGATTTCCTGACTATGCCACACGGGCAAATGTACTGCTCCTCCCAAGCCTCAGTTTACTCACCTACAAAGAGAGACTAAAAATAGCAATCCCCTTACAACATGATTGACAAGTCACTAAGTAAGCTGAGGAATGCTTACAATAGTGTTTGGCACCCAGTAAATCCTATTGTTATTATTAAGGGTTCCTGCTCTCCTTAAGTTTTTATTCCTCTTAATTCTTTCCTTGGGTTTACTTTTGTTTATCTTGCATCATCCAAGAGCTGATTCCCCAGGTAGCTCTTGGTAGTGGTTAGAAAAAAAAAAATGACCATTTCCACGTGAAAAATACTTTCCTATTCGGAAAATGAAAAAGACCTTTGATCATTTTATTTTGCTATCGTTATTGTGCTTACTTTTTAAAATGACTTACCTGAATTAAGGTTTGGTTCTTAGCATTTTCTTAAAGTAACCTAGATTTTGCAGTCACATCATGTAAATGAATACCATCATATTTCTACAAGGAGACCGAGTACACTCTGAAATTGCCATATCATACATTTGATCATATATTCTAACAAGGCTGTTGTTGCTTCACGTGGTGTGTTGTGAGAATGAGAAAAAGGAGTCTCTTCTTCAGCATGGAATTAACCTCTTACTAGGGCACTCGGCTTGGCAAACCAAGCATGGGTGGGATTTCAGCTCCCAATCCTCCCTTTGGCTGGGTGCCCTTGTGCAATGAACAACCTAAACAACTGTAGGCCATGGCCCTGGTTTTCGATATCCTATAGAATACACAACGGATGCAGCTGAAAAGGGTTGTACGCAGCACTGCAAGAAGAAATTTGGACACCACCTACCTCGTGATACTTTTTCACAGTTTTCCCTGACGTGCATGTGCAGGGCCTCCAGTTGACAGTTCCACAGCCACAGTTTCCTCCACAGCGCTGAACCAGGAGGCACCGTGGGAAGAAGACCACGCTGGTCAGCCTCAGCTCTTCTCTTAAGTTGACCGAGTAGTTCCTGGGAGTGCAACTGTAACGCTTGGCGTCATCGTTGAGCCTGTCCAGGTCCACTGTAAGCAAAGACACACACTGTGTGTGCAAACCGCAAACTGGAAGCACAAATGCGCAGCGTGTGTTTTGGGGGAACAGAGCGGGGGCATTCTGGGAGGATGACCTCAGGGCAGGGGTAGACTCTGTCTTGGGCCCCCCCAATGACTAGACACCTGAAGTGGAAGACCTGATCTCTCTTTCGATATTCTATCTGCCTTTCAAAAATAGCCACAAAAACAAAACAAAACAAAAACCTTAGCTAAAATCTGCATCTTGGTTCAAATCTCCTTGCATCTTTTTTTTTTAATGCCAAAAAAAAGTTCTGAGGAAAGAAAATGAATTTGACAATTTACAATAATTGCCTTTCCTTTAAAAATAAAATTAAAAAAATTGTTGCATCCTGGTGTGAAGCTGCGACTTAAACATGATTTGAATTATATCTAGGACACATTAGGGACAATCATTCTAGTATATCTACCTGACAATAAAATGCTGCAATTAAACGTAAGAAAGAAAAAGGTTTTTGTTTCACTTTAAAATCAAAGTTAGCCAAAATGTTAAAAAAGTGGATTTCTTTTTCTTCTGTGAATACAGTGCACATGTGTTTGCTGGGTCCTAGGTGGCAGTATAGCGTAGTGGTTAAGTGCTTGAATGCCTCAGTCAAGCCACAGCTGCCTTTAATCACATCATGGCCATGCCTCCTTTACGTTGGAAAGTTACTTAATGGCTACGAACCTCTGCTTCCTCACCTATAACATATAAATATTTGAAGGATTGAATGTAGTCTGCCTGGCACTCAATTAATGCCAGCTATTATTATTCATCTTGATTCATCTCCTCCACCCTCCATTTTTTCCTTTAAAGCCAAGTGGTCAGAATTTTTTTTTTAAATCAAATATTTCTACCTCTATTTCCCTCCCTCCCTCCCTCTCTCTCTCTCTCTCTCTTTCTTTGTCATTACTTTAAGTAAATGATGGTCAAGGGGTATGATTACGGGGACTCAAGATTTAAAGGCATCACACTATTTTCAGATCTAAGTCACAAATATTTACCTGAATTTAATCTGTATTTGTGTCACATAAGTTATATTTGAGTTAGTGTTCTCAGAATTATCCCATCATCCATCCATCTGACATCCGAATTCTCTTATGGGTGCACATCCAAATCTTATTGGTATACACGACTATCTTCTCACGAGAATGTAGTTAGAAGCACGTCCTTTTGTCTACACAGCTTCCACCACCATCTATTAGTGCACACTCCTGGTGTACGAACCAGCCCGTCACAGGAGCAATCCCGTGACTGTCAGGCAGATACTACCAGGCTCATCCTGAACTCTAGTTCCGTAAGTGTTTTAGCTTAAACCAAACCGCTTGAGAAGAAGTAAGGAATGGTCTCTGGAGGTAAGAAGTCAAAAGCCAAGGAGAGTGTCAGTAGAATGCATCTGAGGGAAAGTGAAGAAAAAGATGGCACAGATATGGACACAAAGTCTATTAGCCCATCCCTGTATGCTTTTAAAAATATATACAACTGTACTTTGACCCTCAAGGGCAGGGATGTATCCTCAACTGCTAAATGCTGGAGCCCAGGACCCTGTGGGGACTGAATAAATGCTAAATAATCACCGTGCATAATTTATTGCTGTTTTTCTTTAAAATTCTTTTGTAAAGACATGTCATAACTTTAGCTACAATCAATCCAGATTTAAATTGAATGAACTCTGTCTTGGGAAAGGAACCGTTTTATTGCTGTTAAAGCCCTGAAAATAACTGCAAGCAAAGCAGGGAGGATTACATAAATGGATTAAGAAGTGCAGCAATCATCCATTACAAGTGTCACCTTGAGATAAATACCGATGCTGGCCTGTGCATTCCTGGGCTTGCGGACAGCGCTGCTGCAGAGGGCCAAAATCTGCTGCCTGTGATAATGGGCAGGTATTTGTCCAACACGGAGGGGTAAAAAGGTGCAATTAGCAGGAAGGGATCATGGTGGGTGGGAGGGCAGAGCGGGACAGGAAGGAACAGCAGCACACCTCCATCAACAAGGGTACCTGCACAATGGATATTTGTATACCTAACCCTGAATTGTAGCCCACAATTTAAAAATAAAAATAAAAAGGGGAAAAACATAAAAAAGAGGCAGTAACAGCAGAGTCTCGACTTTAATTCAGCCCTCTGCTGAATTAAGCACCTGACAGATATGACTGCATTAGTTACCCCCCACCTTTTGTGGTGGGTATTATTGACTCAAGGTGACTAGTAAATGGTAAAACTGGACTGGAGCCCTACTCTCTCTTTTGCTTCATAGCCTCTAGCACAACAAGCAGCACAGGGGGGGCTGATCGGTAACCCATTAGTTGAAGGATGAAGACTGATGTGGTGAGGGCAGTCTCTGGCTTTCCCATAGGATGTCGAACGGGTGGTAACCGGTAAATGGCTACATCCTTGTCGGAGTCAAATCTGCAGCATGACTTCCCTGCAGAAATTTAACAAAGCCCCAAAGCGCCCTCCCTAAACCAGGTCAAGGCCTGTATGCCTCATTCCCCTTGAAACCGAACTCCTCGCACGGTGTAACTGTTTTCCTGACGAGTGCTGGTTACTTCCGTTTCTTCCCCACCACGAGGAGATTTACAATTCTGGCCGTTGGATGCATCAGTTTACTGATGTGACTAAGAACTGTGGCCCAGTGTGACTGTGGTGAAATCCAGCTGCCCTATATATCGGGGGATTGAAACCACCCAGGCACTCAATTTAGGACCAGAACTAAAAGGTTCTTCTGACTGGATGCAAATAACCTCAAAGCATGATTGCAGACTTTCTGCAGGGGATATTGAGTTTCCAGTCAAAGAAGACTGATGAAACAAAGCGGCAGAGCAGGGAGTTGAACAGAGGTTGAGTGGCAATTAAGACTTCTGGTGCTCCGGCCTGAAGGAGGACTCTGGTGTGAGACTTCCAGGAGGGGGATGGGCCACGGGGACCAATCCAGGAAGAGAGGCTGCCCTTTCCTTTCTGCTTCAGTCTCCATAGCTGAAAAATCACAGAGAAGAAGGATGTTCCTAATTTAATTCAAAGGCCTGTTCATTTCATCTAACCTCCCTTATTTCACCCAGGTGTACATAGTAGCGGAATCCCTCCTTTGCTGTCCTTTTGAATTTGAGCCTGGTTTTTCGGGGTTCTTTGACATGCATTCATTTTGGGGGGGCTTCGTATTGACAATCGTCTGGAAAGGCCGGGAAGCCTCCGCTGTCCTCAAAGGCTTCCTCTGCTGATCCCGTGTGGGTATGCTACACAGGGCATCCCGGAGCACCCTTCCTCCCGCAGCCCTGGCCTCCAGACACGGTCCAATCACAGAGGTTTTTGGGCTGTGGTAGACATCCTGAGATTTGAACCCTGGCGTGGGGATGTGCACACATATTCTTGTTCAGTTTCTAACATACTAGGGATGAGGAGTGTGAGGGAGGAGAGTTAGTCTGGTCTTCTTGATCCTGGCCCTCTAGACGATTAAGTTCCAGGTTCTGTGTTCATGACTACATGAAATCCTGATAAATGCTATGCATCCCCTGCTATTATTAACCTCACTTTTACAGTGGAGGAGACCGAGCCTTAGAGAAGTTAAGAAAAACCCCTGTCCACAGCCGTCCATCTAGTCAGTGGCAGAGCCAGGGGTTGAATCTAGGCTTCTTCATGCCTTTTGTACCTATGAGGGCCAGCGTGAAGATTTGAAGGAGGGTGCAGAAAGCAGCTTCCACAGACCATGTACAAGTCTTCCCATCTGAGGACCACTTGACGTGCAAATGACCTGGCTTCCTGGGTGCACCAGTAGGCACTGACCTGTCATTTTCGTAGTGTCATCAGTTATACACACTCAGGTATGAGTTTCTGTGCACACTTATTCACCTATTGGGTTCTGACTCATAAACCAGGTGGGTATGCAGAGTCTACATTGTTCTTTGGTATTACAATATAATACATTTCATCCTGCAGCCTGGACTGAGGGGACACTGGCCAGTGCATACCCTTTTGTCCTCAGTTCTTCTTGAACCCCTCTGATCTCACTGCTTGTAGTCTTTGTCATGAAAGCCAATCAGAGGCCCCTGTAAGAGCTGATGGATTGCTAGCAATGATTTTTCCTAACAAGGAACAAATGCCAGAATCCTTAGAGATTCTGGTTTCTGTAGGTCAGATAAAGCCAATATTATATTTCACATACCTGGCAAGCACAGCTTGGGGTAGTGGTCAGCTTAAAAAAAAAAGTTTACATTTATTCTTTTTCTAAGTGACAGTATTTATTATTTTATGTAAGTTACATGTTCTGGAGAACAGAAAGTCCAAAATGAGCATCACTGGGTTAAAATCAGGGTATTTAAAAGTAGGTTTGTGTTGTTTTGTCACTCCAAAAATTCATCGTGAAACAAAACAATCTCTTCACTTTGCCCGCAGTACAGCACAGTGTTTTTCTCCCCGTGAACATTTAGTTTATTGCCAGTTTTGGTCAAGAAGAGGATGTTTCCTTGGGGTAGACTCTAAATGTCAGGTTCTTGGTTGGCGTTCACAGAGTTGGTTGTCCATCAGTCTTTATTTCGATACACCATCAGCCTTTTTTCTCTGGGTTGTCTGGAGTCTGCTAGAGTGTCCAATTAAACTGCCACTTGGGGATAGCCAGGAATCATTGTGTTGTTGTTGTGGTTAGCAGGTCTAGCCTCGATCATGCTAACATTCTTTATAAATTCTTATATCAGGCGTTCAGCAGCAGCCTACATATCAGTGTATGTTTTACACACGGCGATGGCAGGGGGAGCGTGAGCAATTGATGCAGGGCCATGCTCTTTCCAACTCCATGCTTTTGTCCTGTTGGGCTGTCTTCTTCAGTATCTCAGCCTGCCACATCATTTTAGTATCCTCTAGCTTGACTCAAAAGGCGTATTTGCCCTTCAGCTCCTCTGACCTCTTTTCTATGTTCTCACCACAGCTTTTCTGCCCTCTCTCATAGCACTGATTTCATAGACTTTATTTTATTGTTT